TTTTATTTGTAGCAGTAGGCCATGTTTAATCTATTAAAAACAATATCCAAGTAAACAATTATTAACAAACAAGAAACTCAAATCCAATTATTTAAATGTGTTTTATACATATGAAATACTATTTGTAACAATTTTCAACTTGTTATAGTCCATTATAACATTAATTAATACCTAAAACCGTTGTTCAAGTTGGAGACCATTTTCTCGAATGCAAAACTCGCACATTTTTCTTATTTTTGTAATGGCATTTAAAAGAATTATTTTCGAAAGTTAAATCAATTGCCCATCAAAGTTCTGCTACAGACTCGACCATGACAATTTTCTTGTTGTTAATTTTACAAAAAAAATTACTGAGATACCCCATAAAAAAATTCTATTCTACTTTATGATTTTCATGATGATCTAGAAGTGGCGAAATTTTTATTTCGGACCCGCACTTAATCGGACAAAGAACATCAAAAGAGCAATGCCGTCACGTAGCGAATTAACACGCGCATATCCGACTAAACGATTTTGTTGTAGATGGTAATAGCGCCGTATTGCCTCTTCTGTTTCTGATTGCGGTATTTGTGCCCCCGGCCATGTCTCTAATTTAATTGTGTTATTTCCGATGGAACTCTGGCTTATACTCCGCAATAATTACGTTTAGAATTCTGTCTCGTCCGCCACGTAGGTGGTGTATGCGTATGTGTTCGGGCTTTATTCTTTCTTTATATTTTCTCTTGGGATTTGCACGTGTTGAAATAAAATCGGGAGGTAATACAGCGTGCTGGAACTCGCCGTAATAGATTCCGAAGCTAGATAGTCTGGAGGGTAAATTGCTGATCAAATTTTAAAAAAGATGTTATAACCATCATCATGATTTTCTAAATTCTTTCGTTTCTTATTATCGTTTTGGTATTCGAGTTGCCTTTTCAGCCGACATAGAGAAATGAAAGAAATGAAAATAATAATCAAACGTGGACCCTCTCTAAGATTTTTTTCAACTGTGATGAATCCTTTTATTCTAAAACATAAAAATTTCAACATAGTGCAGTTTATCAAAATAAAATTAGTGAAATTAGGTAAAATAACGCAGTTGCTTCGTTAAGAGTTCTTAACGATCTATCTTCAAACGGTCCTAAAAAGTCATAGACCCATGTTATTCAGAAATACCAATAAATCAAAAAAGGCATGAAATCTCAACACTTATGCTAATTTTTATCAGTGTCTTCCAATTTATCATCAACTTTAATCCAGCAATCAATATATTAAAATGGAATTAAGATGGTTTACTGATGTTTGTCACTATAAGTGAAAAGTTTTAATAGTCCTTCTTTGAAATTTTACTTTGATAATTTTTATTTGACGATTTTGTCGATAGTGTATCTAAAAAAACCGCCTAGGACTTGTTTCTCAGTCGATTCGATCCTCAATAGGTGTTCGTGTCGGGATTAATTTGCGAGACCTATCATTATCAGTTATTTAGAAAACGACTGAGGGTATTCAATTCAATTAAGATACTAGCGCTAAAACGTGATCTTACAGAATTATTTACCCAATGTCTTTATCGCGTATTTTTATAACCTTTTCTTTATATAAAGCTTTATATATACCATATAAATATATACCGACATACATATAATGTGATCCATACAGAATGGAGAATCTCTTAATTGGAGATACTAGATACCAAAATATTATGATTCAAATACAAATACCAAATTTTATTCTGAATTTTCTTATTAATTCTGAAAGTTCATACATTACTCCTGCAGGGCGCTAGTTTCACCGTATAATTTAGATAAAGTGAATCATTTTAAAAGATACGGAGGTCAATAAAAAACCAATATTTAACAACAATTTTGGAAATGGTAATAAAAAAGAGCTTCAAATCAAATGTTGGAATTGTCCACCATCTACCTCAATAAACGTCTTTAAATGTTAAAAAACACTTCTCTATTATTTCTAAGGGTATTCGATGCTTTAAGTATTTATAAAAAAAAAACAGGAAAAATACGTCCAACTTTTTAAATGTAGTAGTATTTTCCGTTGGAACCTTCTACATAGATAATTTCTGCAACAAAGCGTCTTCTTGATATTTATTCATTCACAAAAAATTCTAGTTCAAGTTCTATACCACAAATATTTAAAAAGACATTTATTTTAATTGAAGGAAATAACGCAACAAGCTTTTAGTTTTAACAATGATTAAATGCATCCTAAAGCTCGGTTTAGACCCGTAGCTTTTGCTCGTGCAATTTAAACAGTCACCAGTCGATGCGTATAACATATAGAAAAGATGTCCTTTAAGATTTAACTGCGATTTTTCCTTTTGTGAAACTTTTATACCGACATTTAACTTTATTCCTCAATTTTTAATAATAACGATAAAAGATCAACAAATGCCGGCCCGTGGGGCTTGTAAATCTCTAACGCCTTTTGTCCATCAATGCGTCATTTTTAAAAAAGTTATTCCGGGAAGTTGGTGAACTTCATTATAATTCCTAACTTTTATTTTGTGCGTTCGTCTCTGGTACCTAGTCATTAATTTTGTAGAAGGAATGTCGTCGCATTAAAAACTAAACTAATCTAGAATATACGTGGACAGGATGTAGAGGCTTGTCTTTGCCGACATCATTGCCACACATGTTGTGAAAGGACATTCAATATGCGCATGCGCGATGTATTTCAACATTTCCTTTTAACCAATAAGATCGATCAGACGTTCAACATGGTCAGACATCAGTTTATCAATTAGCGCGTTTTTCTTTTGGATGTTGCCTTTTCGGTATTATTTTTTCAAAATATGCCCAGATGTCATTACATTTTCACGAAAAACAGTTGGACAGTTAGACAGTTATATGGCGGAACGTGATAATCAAATCTCACGTGTAGATTGGGCTTTATGCGTTCGTCAAACACGTGCGCAGGCTATTTATACAGTAAGATTAATTAGTCTAAACGCAATGTGGTAATTAAGTGTAATTAAGAGAAAAATTGCGGATTGGGGTGAAGCTGTTTTATCGTGTCAGCCGGCCCGACCGCTTTGCGCTAAAACCCCTTTCCGTGTTCCTTTAAGGGCACATAAAACATTCCCTTCCCGTAATGTAAGTAAAGGCTACCATAAGTACACAAGTAAGGCACTCGAGCGTGACACACCTAAGTGTTATTTCGCGGGAGAGTTGCTCTAAATTTAGAACGAGAAAATGTTGAAAAATCGATGGGATTTATCTGCCAGCGGAAGCGGTTGAAATGAATATGTGCGTTTGGGGGCCGAATCAAAACGTTCGTTTATTACTTTTGTTCGGGAATCCTCTAGATAGCGCTTTGAGAGTCAGTTTCGTCAACTTTTCGAACGCGTTTTGAATAATGTTTATACATTATAGTGGAACTTGCAAATGCGGGTGGGTCGTTTTGCGCGATAATAACCACATAAATTTCCTACCAACAGTTTCTATGCCCGTCTCGGACTCCGAATAAAAGGAATGCGCGTTTTGTTTTGCATTTCTTTTTTCCGTTCGTTTTTTCCTCTAAATTTCAGTTGAATGGAATAGAACGAAATTGCTCTTTTCGCAACCCTTACCTCCAGCATTAGTTATGTGTTGCCAGATCGAAAAATTGAAAAAAAAACGAGATATTTTCTTTTAAAGTTTTCCGTATTTACATGAAATACGTCAAATAATTGAAATCAGAAGTTTTAATATGCGTTTTGTTACTTTGGTAACACCAAATCACTAACGCAAAGTGCTTGATATTCACAGAAGTTAAGAAAAATCTAAATTTAATTCATTTTTATATTAATATAGCCGGGTGGAATCAAGAAGAATAAAAAACCTAATTGTGCTTTATATATACGAATTATAAATGGATTAGTGCCATGTCAAGAAAATTATCAGAAATCGGATTTTTTCAAAAAGTTTTCACCATTTCACCTGGTGAATTCTTACCAAACCTGTCAACTCTGTAAGCATTACGTCTCGGAATATTTTTGTTACGCCACTGTTTCGCTAATACGAGAGTAATTTTTGTTATATATTTTTATTCCTTGTAACGTTGGTGTAGAAGCAAAGAATTGTTAGGTATTTTATAATAAATTATGTAATGAAACATGAATCGCAGTAACTTGTTTGGAGCTGGACTTTCTGTAGCAGTATGAAACTTTATAACCATATGAAATCTTTTATTATAGTTTCGGATCTTACATTAAATTTTAATTAGACCACCTTTACGTTTTTCGTATGAGTTTTGAAACAACATATACTATTATTTTAGAAGATTGTTGCGTATATAAATTAAGCAATGTATGCATCTGAAACGAGCCAATCGTAATCCCATGATATTAAATTGATTATTCGTCGTATATCGCCATCTATCGGCGATGCGATTCAACAAAACCCAATTGGATAGAATTTCCCATCTAGAATACTTTCGGAAAGTTGGATGCGAATTTCTACGTCAATACTCGTGAAGATTGTGAAGGTTTATTGATGCAGTTTTTCAAGAGAGTATTTTTTTAGTTCAGGAGGTTGGCGAGTAGCTGGCTCCGAGGTTAATAAGACTTATTTTTATTTTATTTTTGGATTAACGCCAGCGCAAAATGAATTGCCATTTGCCAAGAAGAATGTTATTTTTTCTTCTAATATATAAATCATCTGCGAATAGACTCAATCTATGATAAATTAAAAATACATTTTCAAAAAAAGGGTATTCCACACTTTTGGCAGCGTTTCGGCATTTTTCATGATACTTTAAAATGATTAATGAGCAAAAACTTTTATTTATAACAATGTGCAAACAGGAGATTTAAAAAAAATGTTTGCTCATTCTATTTTTGCCAAGGAGTTTTCTCTTTTTTTAAATTCATTATTCTGGAAGTTTCTCCCCTTAATTTTTTAAAGATATTTATTCCATTACATACATATTTATTTTTAGTAAAAATTGAATAATGGCAATAATTTTCGCCGTCGTATTTTAAAGAAATTTTTAATTGACCGTGAAATAAAATGCGGTGTTGGAGTAGTAGCTAGATGTTTATTTCCATTCTGTACACTTATTCCTTACATAATTAGTGAACCGTCGAAATAAGGACGATAATTGTGGAGCGGTTTGACATATATTTTCTTTATGCCCATTTTAATTTCTACGTCTAACAGCATTACTCTAATAACACTTGGAATTGGAAATTTCGCATAGTGAACTTGGTCCTCACGAGTTGCTACACGCATAACTAGAACTAACCAAATTCGATTCGTTTCAAAATAAATTTCATATAATTGTTTGGTTAGTTTTCATAAAATTAGACCTTACAACAATTTTTAGCCGTTATTGCTAAAATCACCTCTGCTGTTTCGTAAGGACGAAGCTCAGGCATGGACTCAGAAGTATAGTACTGGTTCAAGGAAATCGGATCATCATCAGATCACTTTTTATATAATACGTAATAACAGCACAAAATGAGATAAGGAAGTAATATCAATCTACTCTGACGACGACCCGGTGCGAATCGAAACGTCGGTTTAATATGCTTCATCGTCGATGCTGCGTCGTCTTCTACCGGGACCTCCGGCAAAGTTGGCAGCTGCCAGACCCATCAGGTGTTTGGCCGCCTGAGAGCCGGAAAATCCACGACCCAGTCCGAAATCCAAGCCGCGTTTTGAGCTAAAGAGGAAGAAAAAAGATGTTAATTTGGACAATCGTACGATACGAAGAAAGGGATCAGCTGTATGGTTTTTGAATGAAAACTATAGTGGAGATCCAGTACGTCACAAACTCTTAGAAAATTGAAACAATTTGGCATCGCTGTGTGTTTAGCAACAATGCTATCCTTGATTCTGATTGATGTTGGCTGCGAACGTCAGAAAACTGGTCTCTCGTGTTGCTATACGTCGGTTCTTCTGCCAGAATGATGATGTTGTCTAGTCCAATCGCATTGATTGATGTTTCTTTCAACATACTGCTGTAAACCAACCAGTTTTTCTTGTGTGTTTCTGTATTTTGCAATTTATTTTAATCAAATCTGCTTAACTATGTCTTGAGACTTTTCAAATTAGAAGTTTTGAGGTTTACGTAAAAAAAATTGTCCCACTGTTATGATGATGTAACAAATTTTCTAGAAAAATGAAAAGTACAGTAATTTAAACGTTTTCGTCAAATTCCCACAGTGTTGGAGATTATTTAAGACCCTAATTTACCTCTAGCGCTGCTTCAATTTAAATTTGCAGTACGCAATAATCAACCAATCGTCCGTCAAACACTTTGAATGTGTGATTTATAATTATAATATTTTGTTTTTAAAATGCACATTTACCGTTTTCAAAATAAATACAATTTTCTAACGCTCTTATTTTTGTAATATAAAACTACAAATTATTTAAATGACTACATACGAAATTGCAAAAGCATTTGTTCGCATGTTTGGACTGATATAAATATAACTTTTCCTATTGAAAACAGCACATATTAGACGTTTAAACCTTAGTGTGATGGGCATCAGTAAAGTTTCTTGGGTCATATTACAAAGGACAACATCTCAAGATACTACTCCTGCAGTTACCAGTCGGATAAATACCATAGATATAGAGTTGCCATTGCACTGGAAAGTAGCTTGAATGGATCGATTTTAACTTTGTTGCAATTTCGGAAAGTGTTATGATCATCAAACCGTCCGGAAAACAACTGAACGTGATCTGTAAGATTTTCCGGGCTGTTAGGCTGTCGTCCATTGGTTTTGCTACCAAAGCTTTCAGCTGCTACTGCGGCAGCCATCTTCAGTGGAACGTAGATCTACGTTCCACTGAAGATGGTTGTAGCATGGTAGTAGCAGCTCAAAGCTTTGGTAGCAAAACCAATGGACCAAGGCCTAACAGCCCGGAAAATCTCACAGATTATGACGCAGCCATGAAAGCCTACGCAATTATATTAACTGAACGTGAATTCAATACAGGTTTTGCGCACCCACATTAGATAAATCTAATGATCAGGTTCAGGACCTGGCGTTAAAAATCACTAGAAAGGACGAAGCCTCCCTGAATTATGGGTGACTTCGATGCTGAGGGCAGGCATAGTGACATTGTAGGAGACTGCGGCCTGGGAATTAGAAATGAAAGAAGCGACTTACTAATCGAGTTTTGCCAGGAAAGAGAACTTGTTGTATTTAACAGATGGTTCCAGCTCCCTCCTCGACGCTTATACACTTGGAGAGCAGTTGGAGATAACCCAAGTCGAATAATTAGATATCAGATAGTAGATGTATAGTGCCGATATAAGCAACAGAAACCGTACATAACCTCAATTTCCTAACCCCCCCGCAGCGGGGGCCCCCCGCGCGTGGCGTCCTAGTGTCCCCCCTGTCTACCAGAGTGCGCTCCGCCCCCCACCCAGCTTGTGTAGCGTCCTGTTTTGCCCCGGTTCCGCCCGTCGCTGCTAGATGTCGCGCGCTTGTGTAGCGTCCTGTTTTGCCCCGGTTCCGCCCGTCGCTGCTAGATGTCGCGCGCTCCGACCGTCGTAGGCCCCCCCGGTAGAGGGCGGTGACGGTGCGGCACGGCGACGGTGTCGCGCGGTGACGCGGGTGATCGGGTCGTCGGTAAACAAGTCGAGTGACTTATACAGAGTGTCTCAATAATCACGGTTTAATAAAAGAAAAACTATAGATACAATAGTAAATATTTATTAGCTCATATGTAGACAACGTAATGCTTCGTACAAGCGGTGTTTCTGGTCCATGAGATTTTCTACTTCATCGCGGTCGAGGATAATTTCGTCGCCATGATCCCGTTTCAGTATCAACTCACAGCTCTCTTCTTCGTTCGAATAGGTCACCTCGATACTGCTCCCGATGTAGACTGTTATGTCGTTCCAGAACATGATTTCTCCCACCTCGTCCTCCAGAAAGAACAAAAAATCCCAAAAATCCTGGACTTGAAAATCTATGTGCTTGTTCTTGAAGATGAAACGGACACCTGAATTCTTTATTTCGAAAATCGTGTTTTCATCGATAGTGACCACTTTGTTACACATTGTGACAAACAGACTGACTTCGGTATCAAATTCAAATGTACTTATATATCAACAACCCACCACTATCGGTGTAATTAAGAGAGATATTTACATTTAGTCAATTTGAATAAGCATTTTGTCAAAAGAAGCAAACAAGCGCACGTAGTTACATATAGCGGGATTAAAATAGTTTTTCGACCTGCCGAGATGTTGTATTCGTTACCGCAAATGTCGTTAACGCCGCCGCTGGTGTTATTGGAATTCTTGATAGCGATCGTTTGCCATTCGCCGTGGTCTTCGTAGCTCCGGTTCGCGAAAACGAAACGTACCTTGTAATTTAAATACGGCTTATCTGCGGTAGTGTTATTCGACAATGTCTCGCTAAAAGTTTGTAGCTTGTCGATTCCGTTGACCTGAGCGAGTTGCATACGCGTCCACGTATCGGGCCAAATGCACCGATTATTATGATTTTTGAAACAAACGAACGCTTCAATCACATCCTGAGGTTTATGTATATAGAAAACGTTTTGTACCACAGCCGACAACAAAACAAAGTGAGCACTTAACAAAACCATGTTTCTAGCCCGAATGAATCTATCCTAGATCTCGGTAACTGCTTTTATAACACTCAAACAATAATGACATTTATTCTGGGGAGGTGCCGGGCCGTCGATATGCATTTTGCTGTCCGGTCTGTTATAGTGAACAAAGCAGGGCAAATGAGTTTGCAATTCAAAATTGTTGCGATGTCGTACTGGTAACTTATGCCACATATTTAACAAATCGTGCGGTCTCACATGCTCCAAGAAATGTTGCACAGGAATCAATTCAAGTTGTTCGGTATCCAAGCTTCTAAAATCGTCGAAGAAAACTAACTTCTTATTCATTGTTGTGAAAGATCGATAACTTTCTTAACAAATCCCTAATTTGTTTAAAGACACTCTCTGTGGGACAATTAATTGCGACAAGACTCAAGTCTATTTCACCGACTCTCGTTAATTTATTCAAAAATTCGTTGTATTCGTAATACGTTTTCTCTTTGAAAAAATACAAATGTCCGTTGGTGTATCGAAACGCGCCCGACAAATCGTCGGGCAGACCCGGAAACAGTTCCGTAGTAAAACCGTGTTCACTCGCACTCAAAGAACACTCGTCTATTTCTGCATAGTAGCGTTTACCGTAAAATATATACGTTCGACCGCCATACGTATTAAAAATAGCGTTCACTGTTTTACCCGCAGGCACACCCAGTCGCTGGACGCTTTGTCGGTCGCCCACTACCGTGAAACTCGGGAAGTGAAGTAAATAAAACGAATCACCGGTGACTACCAAAAGTTGTCCGTTGGGTCTCTGGTAGATATGCGAAATAGGAGCGTAAATAGGGACATAATCTGATATCATTTTAGGTTCCATGTAGACTTTATCACCTAATCTTATTATCCAAACCCATTTGTCGTAAAATAGATACATATGATGGTTAGACGTAACCAAAAATATGGATGGATTTACGTGACACAAATCTGGTACTTTTGTTTCGTTTTTCCCTATCGGAGGTTTCGTAGTTGTGGTAGTAGTGGTAGTTGATGTTGTTGTGGTCGGAGTTGTTACGCGGGCGGTGGTTGTGGTTTTTTTACCATATAAACGTTGAAGACCTGCAACATCGTCGTATGACAATGTCTTAGAATTTAAGCTATACCAAGGGTACATAATGGCATTGCGATCGTTACTGTGCGCCAAACCCAACGTATGTCCAATTTCGTGGAACAACACAGTAAACAAGCTCGTTTTTCCTCCGGGCGCAGGCACTTCTAAACCGTAGTACCAATCTTCGGATTTATCCAAATGAACTTCCACGCACTCTTGTTGTTGATTTGGAAAAAATGCATGTCCTAATATGTTACCCCTTCCGTCAAAAGCAAAAGGACAGGATTCGTTCCCTTTACATCTTATGCTTTGTCTGTGGGTAGTATATTTGTCAGACATCAAAATCATTATATCCGGCTCTGAATAATTTAAGAAAAAATTTAAATTTGATTCATCACTCCATATTTTAAAAACCTCGGTTGCCAGCACTTTTAACTCTTGATAGTGACTGGGCGGTACTTGAATATACCAATTTAAATCCGTTTTCTGCCATCGCGAAACAGTCGTGAAGGCATTTTCTATTACACCACATCGGGGTTTATTTATTAGTTCGACGGTTTCGTTATTAAGAGTACCATCCACCGGTAAATTATAGAAATCCTGAAAATCCATTAGGGCACGTTGCAAACTCGACGCATTGATCTGCGTTAAAGATTCGTTGTCGTTAGGTGAAAGGAATCCGAATTTTTGTAAATATTCAATCACACCTTCCTCGGGCAGCGCGGCGACTATCGTCGACACGTCCGAACAGGTAGTAAAGACAGCGTAGCATAGCAACAAGACTCTCATCTCGTTCAAGGTCAGTAAAATACTAAAATGTATTCGGTTCCTAGCTAATCTTTTATAGGTAAAATAACAAAGAGAAGTGATGAACCAAACGCTTTTAGTCGCTATTTTGCGTGAGATGACGCAGAATATTACTCGAGAAATGGAACGAAAAAAGAATTATACTTCAATAGATTACAGTTTCGCAGTTTGTATTCATATCATAGCATTAGCGTGCTTTATTTTTACGTGTA